TTCTGATCTGATCTTCCGTTCCCCAAATTCAAAATCCCACAAAGAACTTAACTTAGTTGCTGACCGTGGGGACACTACTAGATTCTGAACCACAGCCCAAACCTCCTTATAAACAAGATATTGGTGGCAAATAAAGGAAAGATCAGTCTACCACTGGGTCTTCTTAAACAGAAGTTTTGGCCAGAGTATATTAGCTCAAACTAGTCCCCACTTCCAATTTCATTAGTTTTCTGGTTCGGATAATAAATCACATGGTCTCTCTAGCTCAAATTTGTTTCATTCGGCATGTCCAGTTACTTTCAAATGATGAGTATCACGTATTTATAAAACACATTTATCTATTGGCCAAAAACTGGCCTCATGGAGACTAGCAATGATAGAGGCAAAAGGCTAACTTGATGCCTACTGTGAAATGTATTTCAGCAACATCAACCTACACTTCACTTAATGAAAAAAAAAAAGCTGCAAACAAAGGCAAAAGTGTCCTATTTAAATGGAAATGGGTTTTCTATTTGTAACTTAAATTCACTGCAGTGAAGAAAATTACTGAATACACTTCTGGACCAACATCCTAAGCAAACAGGCACACCATGAAAGTGGGTACCAATTAGGTGCGTTTAAGCATAAAAGACAGTAATTATAAATAACAAGAGTTTTTTACGTGCCAGAATTATCGCTAACAACTGAGGAACACTGGTGATGCAGCCTGACTTGAACTTAATCCAGTGGGATGATTCCATAATGAACCAGATCTCAGGCTTCCCGCACACAGCCCAAAGACCCGACAACTGAGGATTCCTTCACCCGCCCTAACTCTACGGTGCCTAACCCGACTAGTACACAGAGTTTCTATCTAAGAGAGTCAGCTTCCCCGCAAGTTTTTTAAAGTTACGATTCGTGTTTCAACATTGTTCTAGTCTAGGAAAACGATCCTCTCTTCTCATGTTCGTGCGTGCACACGCACGCGCATTCACACACGCACGCATGCACGCACGCACACGCCCATCATTTCACTGAGCTCCCACCGCTAAAACCAAGGGCATCGTATAGAGCACTCATGTCTACAGCTTCATCACCGAAACACCAAAATGTAAATGATACTGTACTTGTCCACTCGTATCTGCGGCCTGCTGGAAATGTGTAGCCAGCGATGTCTCATCCTGGAAAACTTCATTACACTCCAAACATTTCAGACTATGCCTGCAGAGCTTGGATGGGTCTTCATCCAGAGGCATAGCTGGAATGATGGGTGTGCTCGAAGGAGCTGATATGACGGTCCCAGTTATACCAGACTGAATTTTCGTTACAGTGTGTGTGCCAGCCCCCGCGGAGCTCGGAAGAGTGGAAGATGGAGCAGAAGTATTGCTTGACGGAGAAACAATCATTTGATCTGCTGGGACTGGCTTTAAAATCAAGTGGGAGCACTGCATTACGACTCCCTTTTCCTTATGCCCGCGGGCATGGGAAAGGAGACTGCACTTGTTGTAAAAAACGAGGTTCTTTGTACAGTGGTTACACGTTACTTCGATGCGCACACTGCGTCTGTCGTAGTGCTGGGTCAGACTCTTCTCAAGCGCGAAGGAGTCGCCACACTCCAAGCACTTGTACCCGCGGGTCGGTAACGTGATGCCTGCGTTAGCAGGGGGGCTGAGGTTGGGGATGTAAACTGGAACGGGGTTGACGCTGCTCAGCACCTTGTTGAAAGCTTCCACCACAGAACTCTGCAGGGAGGACACCACCTGGACTCGAGACACCTTTTTGGGCGGTTGCGAGGCTGCTGCATTGATTATTGCCTGCTTTATTTGCTGCTGAGGTTTGGTTAGCACTTGGCGGAGCTCGGAGGTGGCCTGGGCGCCCTGAGGCAGGAGGTTAAGGTTGGCGAGGTGCACAGTCTTTGGCACGAGTTTGGCGTTGGCCAGGCTGGATGCCGGCACCACAACGGTTTGCTGCTGGATGGCGCTGGCGGCTTTAATGATGGCGCTGCTGGCGCTCTGAACGGACGCAGCAGATATGACCGTGGCTTTGACCGTTGTGTTGTTAGCGAGCTTCAAATTAATGACTTGAGATCCCGCCGTCTTCACGGCAGACACTGGGAGGAAGGCAGTTGCCACAGGCTTAATCGTGACCTGTTTGGGGGTCAGCTCTGCGGGGGTCACTGCGTTGGTAACGACCGCCGACTGCAGAGGCGCTCTGGGGGGAGAGGAAAGGACGGCCGCTGGCGCCGGAGAGGACAGGAGCGACGTCACGGACGCCATCACGGGCCCCGTCTGCTCAGAAGGCTTCTTTCCAGAGTCAAGATCGACTTCCGGCAACACCCTCGTCACTGTCCTCTTGATTTCCCCAGACGACGTCTTAATGGTTTTTATGCGAACTTTGGGAATTGCTGGTGTCGATCCTGCAGGGGAGGACGGAGATCCTTTGCTGCTGTTCTCACTGGAAATGCTCCTGGGGCTGTCTGGCTGCTTCAGGGACGCTTTTTTCGTCCCATCGATAAGACTCTGGGATTCAGGGGACTTTTCAATGGCTCTGGGACTATCATTTACTTCTTTTGGTAATGGAGAGGATTCCCGTGAATGGGTCACGGGTTCTTTGCAGGAGTCTGAAGCAGCCTTTTTAGCACTAAGAGCTGCGATGGCAGCTATGCACGAAGAAAGCTTGGAGGATGGCTTCGACCTTGCCGGGCCCATGCCGCCGAGGGTGGTGTCGTTCTTCTCGGAGCTCAGCTTCCCATCGTGGACCCTGTTTTCAAGCACCTTTTCGGAGTTTTCCTTCAATTTATCCTCCACTTTTCTGACTTTAAAAGGTTCATAAACGCTCAGATTTATGGAATTTGTTTCTGTCTCTCTCTTAACGACTTTGTTCTTCTCTGTATTGCCTGGAGCAGAGATTCCAGTTTTGCTCAAGGGCTCCCCTCCCAGGGCCTTTAGTTTATCGTAGTCCTGTTGGGGAACCGACCCCGTCAACACATTCGACCTAAAGCTTGAACGCACGTCCTCTTTATCGGGGGGGTCATCCACCTCTATCTTCTCGTCGTCGTCAAACTCTTCGGCACTGGAGATAGGGCTAAACTGGCTGAACGTTGAGTCTTTCAAAGTCACCTCTGAGGTAGGCACATCTCCCTTCATGGACTTCGATCCGTCTTTACTGTAACTGTCCAGCGCCGACGCCGCGAGAAACCCATTATGTAAGCCGTTGCCTGTGGGATTGTGGCCGTCCTTCTCTGCGCCCTCAGAGGAGTCGATGCTGCGCACGTTCTTTACGATAACACTGACGCCGACGTCAGCAGAGGATGGCGTGTGGGAGTCGTCATCCACGTGAGCGCTCTGCTTGATGTGGCTCTCCTGGTCGTCGTGTCCAGATTCGATAGCTGCTTTCGGATCGACCATATCTGGGATGTCGAAGGCTGCCAGGAGGTCGTCAAAGTCTGGGGTCTTCATATCCCCCATGGTCATGAATTTGATCAGATGTTCTGTCAAACACACAGAAAATAATTCCATCAGCAAATGGCATTTTGTAACAATGAGATAAATATCCCCACGAGGTCCGTGCTAACCCGGTGATGGTTGCCAAGAGCAAGTCGACAACCGCACAATTACTGTAACTACGGAATTCTGAGTCAAAGTGAACACACATCCAGCGAGCATGTGTTCGGCCTTGAAAATGACAGCTTCAAAGTAATTCCTCCAAAATGCTTTATCAGAGTGGCAGCTCTTTAACAAGAATGAAGTTGATCGAAACTGTTAGAGCCCAAAACGCAGGTTTTGGTGTAACAACTAGAAAATCTGTCATTTATCACTGGACTCATCATACAAAAAGCTACTTCCAAACATATTTTGATCTGGACAGCATTTAATTCCACTAGCAAAATTATCACTATTATAGCTACCACCATTTTCGGGGCATCAAATTAGAAGAAATATATTGCAATCAAAAAACCAGTTACAGATATCTATTCACTCATAGAAAAAATAAGCACCCCAAACCCACCAGGGGACATCTACTGCTAATAAAGTTCCACCTGAGATTTTTTTAAAAATCCCTACGATGCTGATGCCCTCGGTTTTCAGTTAATCCTAATTTTCTCCGTTATGTTAGGGAGAAGAAATATACTCTCCCGACAGGAAAGTATAGATTCCCTTCCTTCTCCCTCCCCAGTTCAGCGGTTTTAATGGTTGAGGTAGCACACAGCTGTCTCCTAATTACCGCTCATCCAACACAGTGGTGGCCAGTGGCTGTGGCAGCTGAGGAAAGCCCTACCATGAAATCGCTCTCGGTGTGTAACCAGCATGGACCCAAGGACTAACAGCATCGGGGAAGGAAGGCCCCCTCTGTTGCCACCAAGCTAGATAGGAGTGGAGAACAGTCTACGAAGTTGTGTTCCCATCCGTATCCACAAAACCCTGGGTAGTAGGAGCGTGGAGAGTTTTAGGGAAATGGATGGTCACAGCCAGTACAAAGGATGAAGGATGTAGAAATACATGACATGCTAAGCGCCCTTCGCCCGACCTGCAGAGGACGAGTGATTGCGGGGTACAGATAAAACTTCCACTGGAGGAGAGCTCTTTCTCGGACCTGAACCCCCAGGTCACTCCATCTTATGATTCTATTATTTTCTGGTACGCACCACAGTGTGCTACTTGTCTCTTCTTACCTACTGACTAAAGATGAGCAATGAATCTCTCACTCACCTTTACACCACAAATGCCAGATAACTAACTCACTACAAGTCAGGGGCCAGAACTCTGGGTTTAGAACAGAAGAACAGGCTGAAACCCAGCTCTGTCACTCACTAGCTCTGAGACCCTCAGGAAGTGAGGGGACTTCTGTGGGCCTGTCCCTTCTTTTTGCTGAAGGAAGACAAGCAGCCAAGAAGAGAAGGAAAGAGAAGAGGAAGAATGAAAGATAGGGGAAGAAGGAACCAACAATCAATGTCGGAAGGGAGGAGGGTTACAGCTGACTTTAGACAACTTTCACTG